AAGTCCTTGCCTACGCCTATGTCCTGAATGGTTTTGTCTAGATTTTCTTCTAGGATTTTTATGGTGTTAGGTCTTATGTTTAAGTCTTTAATCCATCTGCAGTTAGTTTTAGTGTAAGGTGTCAGGAAGGAATCCAGTTTCTGCTTTCTGCACGTGGCTAGCCAGTTTTCCCAACACCATTTATTAAACAGGGAATCCTTTCCCCATTGCTTGTTTTTGTCAGGTTTGTCAAAGATCGGATGGTTGTAGATATGCTGTGTTGCCTCCGAGGCCTCTGTTCTGTTCCATTGGTCTATATCTCTGTTTTGGTACCAGTACCATGCTCTTTTGATTACTGTAGCCTTGCAGTATAGTTTGAAGTATAGTAGTGTGATGCCTCCAGCTTTGTTCTTTTTGCTTAGAATTGACTTGGCTATGCAGGCTCTCTTTTGGTTCCATATGAATTTTAAGGTATTTTTTTCCTGTTCTTTGAAGAAGGTCATTGGTAGCTTGATGGGATAGCATTGAATCTGTAAATTACTTTGGGAAGTATGGCCATTTTCACGATATTCATTCTTCCTAACCATGAACATGGAATGTTTCTCCATCTGTTTGTGTCCTCTCTTATTTCGTTGAGCAGTGGCTTGTAGTTCTCCTTGAAGAGGTCCTTTACATTCCTTGTTAGTTGTATTCCTAGGTATTTTATTCTCTTTGTGGCAATTGTGAACAGAAGTTTGTTCTTGATTTGGCTCTCTTTAAGTCTGTTATTGGTGTATAGGAATGCTTGTGATTTTTGCGCATTGATTTTGTATCCTGAGACTTTGCTGAACTTGCTTATCAGTTTCAGGAGATTTTGGGCTGAGACAATGGGGTCTTCTAGATATACAATCATGTCATCTGCAAAGAGAGACAATTTGACTTCCTCCTTTCCTATTTGAATACAACTTATTTCTTTTTTTGCCTGATTGCTCTGGCTAGAACTTCCAGGACTATATCGAATAGGAGTGGTGAGAGAGGGCATCCTTGTCTAGTGCCAGGTTTCAAAGGGAATGCTTCCAGTTTTTGCCCATTCAGTATGATATTGGCTGTTGGTTTGTCATAAATAGCTTTTATTATTTTGAGATACATTCCCTCAATACCTAGTTTATTGAGGGTTTTTAGCATAAAGGGCTGTTGAATTTTGTCAAAGGCCTTCTTTGAACCAATTGAGATAATCACGTGGTTTTTGTCTTTGGTTCTGTTTATGTGGTGAATTACATTTATAGACTTGTGTATGTTGAACCAGCCTTGCATCCCTGGGATGAAGCCTACTTGATCATGGTGGATAAGCTTTTTGATGTGCTGTTGCAATCAGCTTGCCAGTATTTTATTGAAGACTTTTGCATCTATGTTCATCATGGATATTGGCCTGAAGTTTTCTTTTCTTCTTGAGTCTCTGCCAGGTTTTGGTATCAGGATGATGTTGGTCTCATAAAATGATTTGGGAAGGATTCCCTTTTTGGATTATTTGGAATAGTTTCAGAAGGAATGGTACCAGCTCCTCTTTGTATGCCTGGTAGAATTCGGCTGTGAACCCATCTGGACCTGGGCTTTTTTTGGGTGGTAAGCTCTTAATTGCTGCCTCAACTTCAGACCTTGTTGTTGGTCTATTCAGGGTTTCGACTTCTTCCTGGTTTAGGCTTGGGAGGAGGCAAGTGTCCAGGAATTTATCCATTTCTTCCAGGTTTATTAGTTTGTGTGCGTAGAGTTGTTTGTAATAATCTCTGATGATGGTTTGAATTTCTGTGGAATCTGTGGTGATATCCCCTTTATCGTTTTTTATTGCATCTATTTGGTTATTCTCTTTTCTTATTAATCTGGCTAGTGGTCGTCTATTTTGTTGATCTTTTCGAAAAACCAGCTCCTGGATTTATTGATTTTTTTTTTTTTGAAGGGTTTTTTGTGTCTCTATCTCCTTCAGTTCTGCTCTGATTTAGTTATTTCTTGTCTTCTGCTAGGTTTTGAGTTTTTTCATCTTGCTCCTCTAGCTCTTTCAATTTTGATGATAGGGTGTCAATTTTTGATCTCTCCTTGCTTCTCATGCGGGCACTTATTGCTATATATTTTACTCTAGACACTGCTTTAAATGTGTCCCAGAGATTCTGGTATGTTGTGTCTCCGTTCTCATTGGTTTCAAAGAACATGTTTATTTCTGTCTTCATTTTATTTTTTATCCAGTCAACATTCAAGAGCAAGTTGTTCAGTTTCCATGAAGCTATGCAGTTCTGAGTTAGTTTCTGCATTCTGAGTTCTAACTTGATTGCACTGTGGTCTGAGAGACTGTTTGTTATGATTTCCATTCTTTTGCATTTGCTGAGGAGTGATTTGCTTCCAATTATGTGGTCAATTTTAGACTAGGTGTGATGTGGTGCTTAGAACAATGTATTTTCTGTGGATTTGGGGTGGAGAGTTCTGTAAATGTCTATTAGGTTTGCTTGTTCCAGGTCTGAGTTCAAGTCCTGGATATCCTTGTTAATTTTCTGTCTGTTGATCTGTCTAATATTGACAATGGGGTGTTAAAGTCTCCCACTATTATTGTGTGGGAGTCTAAGTCTCTTTGTAAGTCATTAAGAACTTGCCTTTTGTATCTGAGTGCTCCTGTATTGGGCGCATATATATTTAGGATCGTTAGCTCTTCTTGTTGCATTGATCCTTTTACCATTATGTAATGTCCTTCTTTGTCTCTTTTGATCTTTGTTGGTTTAAAATCTAATTTATCAGAGATGAGAACTGCAACTCCTGCTTTCTTTTGCTCTCCATTTTCTTGGTAAATCTTCCTCCATCCCTTTATTTTGAGCCTTTGTGTATCCCTGCATAAGAGATGTGTTTCCTGGATACAGCACACCGATGGGTTTTGGCTTTTTATCCAATTTGCCAGTCTGTGTCTTTTGATTGGGCCATTTAGTCCATTTACATTTAGGGTTAATATTGTTATGTGTGAATCTGATACTGCCATTTTGATGCTAGCTGGCTGTTTTGCCCATTAGTTGATACAGATTCTTGATTGTGTTGATGCTCTTTACCATTTGGTTTATTTTTGGAGTGGCTGATACTCGTTGTTCCTTTATATGTGTAGAGCCTCTTTCAGGAGCTCTTGTAAAGCAGGCCTGGTGGTGATGAAATCTGAGTACTTACTTGCTTGTTAGCAAAGGATTTTATTTTCCCTTCACGTATGAAGCTTAGTTTGGCTGGATATGAGATTCTGGGTTGAAAGTTCTTTTCTTTAAGGATGTTGAATATCGGCCCCCACTCTCTTCTGGCTTGTAGGGTTTCTGCTGAGAGAGCTGCTGTGAGTCTGATGGGCTTCCCTTTGTGGGTAACCCTTTCTCTCTGGCTGCCCTTAGCATTTTCTCTTTCATTTCAACAATGGTGAATATGACGATTATGTGCCTTGGGGTTGCTCTTCTTGAGGAATATCTTTGTGGTGTTCTCTGTATTTCCTGGACTTGGCTATTGGCCTGCCTTGCTAGATTGGGGAAGTTTTCCTGGATAATATCCTGAAGAGTATTTTCCAGCTTGGATTCATTCCCTCTGTCACATTCAGGTACACCTATCAAACGTAGATTGGGTCTTTTCACATAGTCCCACATTTCTTGGAGACTTTGTTCATTCCTTTTTACCCTTTTTTCTCTATTCTTGCCTTCTCGTTTTATTTCATTGAGTTGATCTTCAACCTCTGATATCCTTTCTTCTGCTTGGTCAATTCGGCTGTTGAAACTTGTGCATGCTTCGCGAAGTTCTCGTGTTGTGTTTTTCAGCTCCATCAATTCACTTATATTCCTCTCTGTGTTGTCCATTCTCGTTAGCATTTCGTCAAATCTTTTTTCAACGTTCTTAGTTTCTTTGCATTGGGTTAGAACATATTCTTTTAGCTCACAGAAGTTTCTTATTACCCAACTTCTGAAGTCTGATTCTGTCATTTCATCACACTCATTCTCCATCCAGCCTTGTTCCCTTGCTGGTGAGGAGTTGTGATCCCTTGTAGGAGGAGAGGTGTTCTGGTTTCGGGTGTTTTCATCCTTTTTGCACTGGTTTCTTCCCATCTTTGTTGATTCATCCACCTGTTGTTTTTGTAGTTGCTGACTTTCAGATTGGGTCTCTGAGTGAACTTCCAGTTTGTGGATGATGAAGTTATTTATGTTTCTTAGTTTTCCTTCTAACAGTCTGGCCCCTCTGCTGTAGGACTGCTGAGGTCCACTCCAGGCCCTGCTTGCCTGGGGATCACCTGCAGCAGCTGCAGAACAGTAAGGGTTGCTACCAGTTTCTTCTTCTGCTATCTTTGTCCCAGAAGGATACCTGACAAATGTCAGTCTGTTCCCTCCTTTATGAGGTGACTCTTTGGACATACGGGGGTCAGGGTGCTGCTTGAGGAGACAGTCTGTCCTTTATTGGAGCTCAAGTGCTGGGTTGTGAGCTCCGTTTTTCATTCAGAGTTGCTGGGCAGGTATGTTTAGGTCAGCTGCAGCAGGACTCATAAACTCCTTTTTTTTTCCCCCAGGTGCTCTGTCCCAGGGAGTTAGGGCTTTATTTTTGAGTTTCCATTGTGCTGCTGCCTTTCTTTTTTCAGGGCTGCCCTGCCCAGCAAGGAGGCAGCCTAGCCACTGTCTGCCTGTAGAGGCTTTGCTGAGGTGCTATGGGCTCCGCCCAGCTGCCATGTGATCTTCCCTGCAGTCCTGTTTGCATGGGTATAGTTAGAACTGCCTTGGCAATGGTGGCCCGCCTCTGTAATGGCAGACTCTCTCTGTAATAGCAGGTTGCCTCGGCAACGGCAGATTGCCTCAGCAACGGCGGGCCGCCTCAGCGATGGCGTACTGCCTCCATAGTGGTGGAGTGTCTCGGTAATGGCGGACGCCCCTCCCTCACAGAGCTGGACCGTCCCAGGTTCAGCTGTGCTTGCTGTGAAACTCTCAGCCCAGAGTGTTTGCAATTGCTGTTTTGTGTGTGTGTGTGTGTGTTGGGGGGGGGGGGGGGGTCCAGCCGAGCCTGATTACCTTACTCCCTGACTCAGAGTCTTTTCTTTTTTTTTTTTTAGTTGAACAGTCAACTCTCTCCCAGGTGTTCAAGTCGCCTGCTGAAAAGGCACAGAGATCTGTGTGATTTCCCGTGTGGCAACTCACTGTGCCAGCTGAAACAGCAGTGCTGAGATTCGTGGCAGTTGTAAGGTTTATTGCCGATGTAAAATGAGGAAACTGAGGCAAGTATGAGAAAATGAGAAGCCAATTTATTCAGCTCCTGGGCGAGGTTCTGTGGTCCAGGAAGGGGCCAAAGAAGTTGCGCCCGGCTGTTTAGGTCGTGGGGTTTTATGGGAAGGGAAGGTGATTGATTGGCTATTGGGGAAACAAGTAAAGGCAATTTTATTCGCTGTCAGGAAGCAGGAAGTGCCTGAAACTAGTTGCTGTTGGTAGGTGGGCGGGACTTTGGGTAAGTAGGTCTTGATTGGCTGTTGGGGAAACAAAGTGAAGGCAATCTTATTGGCTATTAAGAAGCAGGAAATGCCTGGAACTAGTGGTCATGGGTAGGCAGGCGGGACCTTGGGTAAGTGGGCCTTCCGGGGGCATACAGAGCAGACTGCTACCAGGCAGGGTCTGATGGGGCTTCTTTAAAAATTTTTCCTGCAGGGCTTATCAGCAGTGGGCTGGGGGTTGAATGCATAATTCAGTGCTGAATGTGGGCTTGGGTCTGGCATGTGGAGGCGGGTGTGGGGAAGCCATGCGGCAAGGCCAGATAACGAGCTTGGGTGATGATGCAGTTATCAGGCGCGGAGAGAGATGGATGTGTCCATTTAACCCTTTGTGAGGCAGCCAGCCTTACATTCCGACCTTTTGTATGATATAGGACACCGCTTCTTTCTGGCTACTTCCTGCTGAACAGGGGCAGAGTGGGGGGGTCAGTTGGCTGGTGCCTCGGTTGTGAGTCGGACATGGGGATGAGGCAGCATTTGATTTACAGCTACCCTGGAAATTTCCCTCATGCGAGCTTATAAAAACCTGAGAAAGAAAGGGGTTAACATTAGCAAAAGACAAATTACGATAATGGGGGTGGTGACAGGGGTTAGCCAGGTAAGTACGGGGGACTGCCACCAGTTAAGAGAAGAGGCTGGTACGCTTTGTCTTCTTTGGAGGTCTTCTTGAAGGTGATAGAGAGTGTTGACATTTTCTTCCACCAGACCAGTTTCATTAATATAATAACAGCATTGCTCCTGGAGAAAGAAGCAAGTACCTCCTTTTTCTGCTGTTAACAGGTCTAGGGCCCACCAATTTTGGAGAGTTACCCGAGCCAGTGACGTGATTTGTCACTGGAGGGATGCCAGAGAGGCGGCTGATGCTTTAATGGCTACCCGGAGTTTGTCTTCCAGTTGAGAGGCTGAAGTGACGCTGTAACTTAGAGCACCACTAAGAGAGAGGCTGACCATTATTGGGAGGAAGATTAGTTAAGCCCTCCCGAGGTTTAGTAAGTGTATTTATGAGTTTAGGACAGGAATGAGCTGGGGAGGGAGAGTGGAGCAGAAGAGGAAGCAGAGTAGCCAGGTTGAGTGGGGAAGTAGGATGGAGGCTGACTGAAGGATTTTTAATAAAGAGTAGATGAAACTTTTGTAGACGAGAGGGTCATAGGTGAGTGAGAGATTTGTGTGAGAAAAGGTCGGTTAGCCGATGAGGTGAGAACACTGAAATGGACTGGCGTAAGGTAATTTTTTGGGGTTTTTTGGTTAACTGTGTTGTTGCTTTTAGGGCTTGAAGGCAAGGCTGTCACCCCCTGACTGTGGGGTTAAATGGCTTGGACAAATAGGCTACAGGACGATATGTGGGGCCCAGAGGTTGGGTTAAGACCCTGACCGCTATTTTATTTTATTTTATTTTTTGTTTGTTTTTTATTAGTGAACAGGTGGAAGGGGTGGTTAAGATTTGGCAATTGAAGTGGGGGTGCTGTGGACAAGGCAGTTTGTAGAGTTTTAAAAGCTTGTTTTACAACCCCTGGATGGGAGAGGGGTGAAGGAGTGAGAGAATGGGTGCCCTCGAGATTACAGGCTAAGGAAGGGGTCTGGTTGGGGCAGGAGGGATTTCCATTAATACCCATAACTGACACCTGGGAAGGTATGCCAGGTCCTGAGTAGGAAGGCAATACAGAACAGGTAGCCTCCGTATTTACCAAGAAGTAATGGACTTACCCGCTACTTATAGCGTTACCTTGGGCTTGGCAAGGGTGTTAGGGGTCTCCGAGTCCAGGCCACGTTAGTTGTCCAGGAGGCTGAGGAGTTCAAATGAAGGGACTGCATCCTTTGGACAGGCTTGCCCCTCACATGGAGGTGCAGGGGGTAAGCATGTAGTCCGGAATGGGCAGTCTACCCTCCAGTGTCCGGTCTGTTTACAGGTAGGACAGGGTCCAGGGGCCGGATGCGGACGGGGGCACTGTTGGGCCCAGTGTCCCTCCTGGCCACATTTGAAACAGGGCCCAGGCGGGAACTTTGAAGCAGTCTGGGCGGGTCTAGAGGGTCCTGAGGGACCCTTTTGGAGGGGCTTTGATAGGCCCTTTGCACCAAACGCTTGGTGAGTTGCCGGCCTCAGAGCTGCCACACGAGCTTGGGTTTGGAGGCTTACCTGTTGCTGTAAATGAGCCTGGCAGGTGGCCTCAGCCTTTTCCTGTTGGCCATTAAAACTTTAAATGCCAGGTTTACCAGGTCTCGTATGGGAGTTTGGGGGCCCTCATCTGCCTTCTTTAGTTTTTTCCTAATATCTGGTGCTGACTGGGAGATAGAATGGGCTTCTAGGAGGGTAGCCCCAGCTAGAGTCTGGATCTACTCGGGTATGAAGGACCATAGTGTTAGTTAGTCAGTCTACGAAAGCAGCTGGATTTTCAGTAGGACCCTGAGTTATTTCCCACAGTTTATCATAATTAACCACCTTTTGGGCTGCATTTTCCATGCCCGCTAGGAGGCACTGCAGCATCTGATCTCAGTGGCGGTGGCCATTTTGGCCAGTTTGATAGTCCCAGTTAGGATTAGCCTCAGGGACCGCCACTGCACCCACTGGCATCTGAGGATTAGTGAGATGTACCTGATCAGCGTGTGCCCTGGCTGCCACAAGGAGGCGGTTACACTCATTAGGAGTAAGGGGAGAGGACAGAATTACATAAGTGTCATGCTAGGTAAGGTCATATGTCTGAGACAATGAAATTCCTTGATGTAAGTAGTAGGATTGGCGGAGAATGACCCTAGGCATTTTTAATGGTAGACAGATTGGTAAGGGAAAAAGGAACATGCGCTCGGGCCACACCCTCTGCCCAGCTACCTCATGGAGAGGACAAAGGAGGGAGTTTTCGTCACTGGGAGTGCTGCGTGAGTGAGTGTGAGCACTCACAAAGCTGGCAAATCTACAGTAAAGACAAGACCACATATAGAATTGACAGATAAAGGGTGGGTGCCCCCCAGGTGGGAGACCAGCTGATGCCTTCCCGGCCACGTCCCCGAAGGAATGTTTCAGGAGCATCTTGGCTAAGGTGTACCTGTATAACCCCCGGGTCTGGTCAACTCAGAACTGTTAGCCCTGAGGTGAATCACCGTTATGCCTTATGACATCCCCGTGGAACCGCGGGTGAGGCCCACACAAGCCCCGTAGCCGTTAAGCCGTGGGACTACACATAAACTTACTCACCCACACACTTGCTCAGGAATAGACAGAGAGAGAGACAGAGAGAGAGAGAGAGAGAGAGAGAGAGAGAGACCAAATGCACCTAGGTGAGAGCTGGCCTGCCAAAGGGCAAGTTTGAGATTGAAAGCTAGAGGTCTGATTTTAGTCCTGGGCAGAGCCCAAGCTTGTGAACAGGGCTTCTGATTACCCAAACCTTAGCCGCTGCTGCGGAGATGATCAGAAGGGTGGCTCGGTGTCCCAGGCTGTCCCCCCGAACACCGGAGACTACAAGAGGGTTCAGGAAGGTGGGGACATCTCCCTCAGATTCCTGGCCCTGAGTGACCCCTTACGGGGAGAAGACAAGAGTGTAGGGACATCTCCACTACACTCAGGTCCTCGGAATGAGGCCAGGGCCCTGGGGCCACAGTGAGAGACAAGAAGGAGTCCCCAACACGGCCATGGTTATGAGCAGGGAGTCCACAGAGCAGGCAGCGGGACAAGTTATGGGCAACAGAGTCTTACCTCGTGGCAGAGTGGCTCCTGGTCCAGCCTCGGGTGGAGGAGTCAGTTTCCCTCCCCCAGGAGGGGGGTCTTACAACTCCTCCCGGGTTTCTGGCACCAAATGTAAGGTTTATTGCTGATGTAGGATGAGGAAACTGAGGCAAGTATGAGAAAATGAGAAGCCAATTTATTCAGCTCCCAGGCGAGGTTCTGTGGTCCAGGAAGGGACCAAAGAAGTTGTGCCCAGCTGTTTAGGTCATGGGGCTTTATGGGAAGGGAAGGCGATTGATTGGCTATTGGGGAAACAAGTAAAGGCAATTTTATTGGCTGTCAGAAAGCAGGAAGTGCCTGAAACTAGTTGCCATTGGTAGGCGGGCGGGACTTTGGGTAAGTGGGTGGGACTTTGGGTAAGTGGGTCTTCATTGACTGTTGGGGAAACAAAGTGAAGGCAATCTTATTGGCTATTAAGAAGCAGGAAATGCCTGGAGCTAGTGGTCATGGGTAGGCGGGTGGGACCTTAGGTAAGGGGGCCTTCCGGGGGCATACAGAGCAGACTGCTACCGGGCAGGGTCTGATGGGGCTTCCTTAAAAAATTTTCCTGCAGGATTTATCAACAGTGGGCTGGGGGTTGAACGCATAATTCAGTGCTGAATGTGGGCTTGGGTCTGGTATGCGGAGGCGGGTGCGGCAAAGCCGTGCGGCAAGGCCAGATAACGAGCTTGGGTGATGATGCAGTTATCAGGCAGAGAGAGAGATGGATGTGTCCGTTTAACCCTCTGTGAGGCAGCCGGCCTTACAGCAGTTTTTTTGCCCAGGAATCTCCTGGTCTGCCTCCCTGTTTCAGTTCATTTTTAAATCAGATGAATGGCCAATCTGCCTTCCCAGGTCTCCAATCACCAGCTAAAAGGGCAAACAGACCAGTGTATTTTGTACGGAGAACCACCACACCAGGGTGCCGGCAAAGCAGGCGCACCGGCCAG